GCTTCTATCAGTACCATTCCCAGTCTTGGGTCCTTTAAAGCCCGTAAGACTGCCAAGACAATCCTGATGCACCCACTGTTCAAGATTCGTTATTAATAATAATAACACCCTGACAAAATGTTTGGTCCCTGTGAGTAGAAGGCTAGCCCTTAGTCCCCTCCAAAAGCCCTGCCCTGGTTTGATCTGTCACAGTCCCTTTTAAATGCTTATTGGCCTTGTACCCTTTTGACCTTGTTAAAAAATAGTCTGTCCGCACTGTGGATCTGCAGTGTCCCACCTTAACAGAGAGACCACTATACTTGAGGATGATGTACCTAACTTTATGGAACCAACCAACCCTCTAATGCTGCCTTCTTCCTGGCAAACTGTACTTTTCACTCCATCTTTGCTGTAACCTTGTTTTGCAAACCCTAGCCAATTGTTCAAAGTCCCTAAAAGAGCTTGACTCCCAGTCCACCCTCAAGGATTGGGCTCAAAGTAAACCTAATCTTTGGACAACCTTTCTCAGCATGAAGGTATACTCCCACTTTCCAGAATGGGGGACATTTGTTAACTTTTACAGACACCTGGACTAATTACATCTGTGTTACCAGAGTGGAGGAGGTGGTCACTAAGGGCTACAAGCCGGAGCTTCGCTTTTTGCCCCTCTTCCTTTTTTCACCCCCACCCTTCTGATGTCACTGTGCAGATAAGCAGACCTCTATTGGTCCCTTTCAGGTCTTTTGAATAAAAAGTATCAGGAGCTTCACTCTAACCTATTCACTGTTCAAAAAACCCAAATGGGACATCTGCCCCATCCTAAATGTACAAGGACTGAATCATTTGAGCTTAAACAAATTCCATATGGGATCCATCATTGCTTGGCTTCACTAGGGATACTTTCTGGCTTTGGTAGACACAATAGATGCATACGTATGTGTCCCAATCTTCTGACCGCATCATCTTTTCCAACACATTGCTGTGCGACCTCTACACTACTAATGTGGGAGTCTGTCTTTCAGCTTCTCAAGTGTCCTACATAGTGCCCGCTCTAATCTAGCCCTACTTTGCTCTCATGGAATCCTTTTGTGGGATGCTTGGATGACCTTCTGTCGAGGGAACAGTCCACACAGGCTCTATTGAATAACATAGCTTTGATTGTCCAGACAATAAAGCAGTTTGGATAGATACTGAAACATCAGAAATCATCCTTGGAACCGATTCATTGTTTAGAGTTCTGGACACAGCGCAACCTTGGGTTTTTCTTCCACAGGAGAAACTTCAAACTCTGCGATCTTAAATTCAAGCTTTCCAGTTGAGGAGTTGTCTTGACTGCTTTCCTTTTACATGAGTTTTGGGTCTGTTGATGGCTTCCTTCAGGGTAGTCCCATTTGCTCTGTTTCACTCCAAGTCTCCACAGCGCAGCATTCAGTCATCAGTGGGACAGATCAATCTTGTCATCTTCCCATCTTTTTAAAAAATTTTCAACAAGGATGCCAGCCTGTTGGACAGGGGAAAAGTCTTTGGCACACTGCAGGGATCTTGATTGTCAGATGAGTCAGGTCTCCCGATCAATATCCCAGAGCTTTTGGCAGTTTGTCTTTTCAGCATCTAAGCATCTTGCTGGAAGGTCATCTTATCTGGATACAGTTGGATAATGCCATGGCAGTGGCATGCCATAACCAACTGTAAAGGAGGAAGCAGATGTTTTGCTGTGGCAAGATTGGTAGATTTAATTATGTCTTGGAAAGGAGGAAGCAGATGTTTACACTTAGCTTTGCATGTGAGGCTCAGGGTACATTCTCTACATAATGGCTGCGTGACAGGAGGTATGTACTGCTGCATATGCATGGGAATCGCACCATTACATGTGGTGCCAGGTTTTAGTGGTCCAAGAAGCCCAGGTGGTGCCAAGTTGAAGCAAGAAACTGGCATGGGAACATGTCAATGCCAGCAAGGGACCTTGTGGACATCACAGCATTGTTGGAGCGGAGTTGAATATATCCTTAGTTGAATATATCTGCTTGCTTTAGACGCCAGGAAATTTATTTCTGCAAGGTCTTTCATCGGGCATGAAAGGCATACTTTACTTGATGTAGGTCTTGAGGCTTTCACCCTATGAGCTCTGGTGATAGAATGGATCCAACACTAATAAAGGTCAGGTCTCTGACATTTTAATCTTGTTTCACAGGTCATTCGCCTTTTACTCCTTGATTAAGACTTTTGTACAGGGAGTCTCCCATGTAGCTTTTCTTGTTTGTTCCCCTGTGGCTCAGTAGGATCTGAATCTGGTTTGTCTGCACATTGAAAATGGCCATATGGACCCATTACAGCCATTTTTTTTCTCTCTACGGTCACCCACTAGATGGTATTTCATGTAGCCATCCCCATCTGCAAGTTAAGTGTCCAAACTGGTGGGCTTATTCTGCAAGAAAGCTTTTCTGGTTCTGCATAGGCACAAAGTGGTATTGTGGCCAAGGACTTCATGCCTAAGGTAGATTTGCCTTTTACAATACAATAAAAGTGTTGCGCTGCTAGAATCATAAATCCAATAATAATACAAAAATTCCTTTCTTATTTATTAAACCAAAATAATCCTGTACACTTTTGTGAACACCTCTCCCTCTCACAATATCATATTGTAAAGTCTTTCAGGATAAAAATATGTACAGTCCCAAAAAAAAAAAAAAATCTTCTTAATGTAAATCAATGTGCACTCTTGTTGTTCTCCTAAATTCCCAATGCTGTCACAAACTGTTTGTGCACCACTACACGTGCTGATATAGGTGGAGTCTCACCTTATTACACTTACCTACAAGTTATATTAGGTCAATGTACGCTTTTGTTAACCATTCCTCTGTGGGCAGATCTAACGCCAATCTCGGGTATTCTCCTTCTCTGTGTCAAACTGGACTCTTAGTATCCTTTACCAATTTAGCGCTGTATCTCTTTAAGTGCAGACTCAGAACATAGAAAGCCACCATAGAGTAGTACATTTAAAACCATCATATACAGTATTTATTAAAAATACACTCACAGTTAAAATTATCACTCGCAAAAACGGCAAAGACATAGCTCACATATCATAGTCAGCGCCCCCTCTCACCGCCGGCATACAGCTCCGTGTCACCTGGCTCCTCCCCATGCATATCGTTACTAGGTTATGTGACTTTCTCAGGGGACACATATTTGGCACATTACACTAGTGGCCGTGCACAATCATTTGTTTATTGGGTTTTTGCCTTTTACCTCAACCAGGACATCGTTCTTCTGTTCCAGCTCCAGTTCACCAAAAGAAAATTCTGATTCCTTTTTTGTCATCCTGGATGGTCCCCATAAGGGTGTATTGACTTCTAATTCCACCATCCTTAAGTGACTCAGACAGGCCATCATCCAAGCGTACTAGAACTTTGCATGATTCTTTGGCTTTCGGACATCAATTAATTATTTCTTACCATTGCAAGCATGCCACCTGGCAATTCTGTTGTACTAGGTGAATGTTATCTGATGCCTGCTTTTGGCGTAAGGACCTTCAGGCAGTTCTTTGAGCTGTAGGGCAGCCTCCTCCCGCTTTCTGTTTTTTCTTGAGCCTGTTACTGTTTGCTGTTTTGCCCACTCCTCAGTTGGACTGCTTTTGAACGTCCTGAAGGCAAGACTTTCCTGTGGCCCGGGCAAGAAAGAAAATTAGGATTTTTGTAAAGTCACTGTAAAACAAAAAAAATATTACTAGCAAAAATGTGCCTGTTGAATATGAAAGGATGCATCACTGCAGTGGTGGAAAGCACAGAAGTTCATATTGCTACAGCGGTGGCGAACACAGAGGCGGGGATTGGTGGAGTTAGGAGTAGAGAAATGTGGAATAGGAAGTGACAGCAGAGAGGATAGGGATAAGAGACAATGAAAGCAGGCAGGGAGAGAGGATTGGAGTCACAATGATGGGAGTGGGTGTTAATGTGCTGGTATGCTGAGAGGGCATTGGTTGACATGATGATGTGATGGGCATAATGAGAAGGGTTTGCAAGGCACAGCGTTGATAGGGGTTAGAGGGGTCGGGTACTGGCTCAGCAGTGGTGAGGGGAGTGGATAACCTGCAGTGAACTCCACAGATACTAACAATTCACTAGAGAGTCTGTTGTCACTGTTAACATATTTGCGGCTTATACATGTTACATAATCTATTACTGAAGGGTACCACAAATAAATTATTAGTGCGGGGAGACTTTGTGTGCCAGGAGTTGATTGCTAGTTTGTGCATGGATTGCTTCAAGTTAGATCAGCAGCACTGCCACCAAATACTACTGTAGGTCTAGGTCCTTCTGCATGCACAGTAGAACCCTATAGATGTCTATGAGGCTAGGGGACAGATCAGTCCACATAGTCCACTCATCACATGTTCAGCAGTGCAGATAAGACTATTTAAGCCCTCTTTTCCACTATGGAATTCCATTTCATTGCATTACTGCATATTGTAGGGTCTGCCTATGACTTGAGCTGAGCAAGGTCTCCCCACAGAAAAAAGGATCTCAACTGTCACACAAAGTTGAAATGAGAGTTTTTGATGGTTGAAAGAACTTATTAGCCATATACAGCCTGATCTTAGCCAGACTGTTCAGGTAGTGCCTGAATTGGAGACATAGCTTGTAAGGAATCCACATGTTTTATGATTCTTTTAGTTGTAGCAATTAATATTTTTGCTTTCTAGTTCTGCACAGTGTTCGGAACAGAAGGAGCACTTTCTTGTCTGATAAAAAGGTAAAGGTATCATCAAAATGAAATAATGTAATGGCTAACTGGATCAATTTGTAGATTTTACAGAAGCGTTTCCAGGCAGTCTGTATGCTTCAAAGCTATGGTTGCATTTTATTTCTACTTTTTGACTTTCTAAAATATTACTGCTGTGTATTGTGGCAGTTTAAAAAAAAAAATAAATAAAAAGATGGATTTCATTGGTTACTGTGGATAACAAATGGTTTTCATTGCAGGCTTAAAGCTCCTTACTAATACACAATATGTTTTCTATGCAGGCCCATTTGCGGGCCCAGAAGGCCAGTAAAGAGCAGCAGCTGGAGACGATGGACAGACAGTACAAGCAGCTGGAAGGACGCTTGGATGAGATGCTGTCCCGTATTGCCAGAGAAACTGAGGAGATAAAAGACTTGGAGCAACAGCTGACAGAAGGTCTTTATATTGGTGATATGAGAGGACAATGTTTCAAAAAAGTGTGACTGATATGAAATATAAATAAATTAATAAACACACACATACACTATATTGCCAAAAGTGTTGGGACACCCCTCCAAATCACTAGATTCAGGTGTTCCCATCACCTCCATGGCCACAGGTGTACAAGGCATGCAGACTGCTTCTACAAACCTTTGTGAAAGAAGGGGTCGCTCTCAGGAGCTCTGTGAAATTTCCTTGCTACTAAGTATTCCACGGTCAACTTTTAGTGGTATTATAACAAAGTGGAAGCTACTGGGAACAACAGCAACTCGGTCACGAAATGGTAGGCAGTGTAAAATGACAGAGTGGGGTCAGTGCATGCTGAAGCGCACAGTGCGGAGAAGTTGCCAAGTTTGCAGAGTCAATCGTTAAGGACCTCCAAACTTTGTGTGGTTTTCAGATTAGCACAACAACAGTGCGTAGAGAGCTTTATGGAATGGGTTTCCGTGGCCGAGCAGCTGCATCCAATCCTTACATCACCAAATGCAATGCAAAGTGTTGTATGCAGTGGTGTAAAGCACACCGCCACTGGACTCTAGAGCAGTGGAGTCGTGTTCTCTGGAGTGATGAATCATGCTTCTCTGTCTGGCAATACGAAGGACGTGTCTGGGTTTGGCGGTTGCCAGGAGAACGGTACTTGCTTGACTGCATTGTGCCAAGTGTAAAGTTTGGTGGAGGGGAGATTATGGTGTGGGGTTGTTTTTCACGGGTTGGGCTTAGCCCCTTTGTTCCGGTGAAGGGAACTCTTAAGGCTTCAGCATACCAAGACATTTTGGACAATTGCATGCTCCCAAATTTGTGGGAACAGTTTGGGGATAGCCCCTTCCTGTTCCAACATGACTGCGCACCACTGCACAAAGCAAGGTCCATAAAGACATGGATGAGCGAGTTTGGGGAGGAGGAACTTGATTGGCCTGACCTCAACCTGATAAAACACCTTTGGAATGAATTGGAGCGGAGACTTGAGCCAGACCTTCTCGTCCGACATCCTTGCCTGACCTCACAAATGCACTTCTAGAAGAATGATAAAACATACCCATAGATACACTCCTAAACCTTGTGTACAGCCTTCCCAGAAGAGTTAAAGCTGTTATACCTGCAAAGGGTGGGCCAACTCAATATTGAACCCTACGGACAAAGACTGGGATGCCATTAAAGTTCATGTGTGTGTAAAGGCAGGCGTTCCAATACTTTTGGCAATATAGTGTGTGCGTGTCTGTAAGTATGTATGTGTGTGTGTATGTGTATATATATCTATGTGTGTGTGTATATGTATGTGTATATATATCTATGTGTGTGTGTGTGTGTGTGTGTGTGTGTATATATATATATGTGTGTGTGTGTGTGTATATATATATACAGTCAGGTCCACAAATATTGGGACATCGACACAATTCTAACATTTTTGGCTCTATACACCACCGCAATGGATTTGAAACAAACAAGATGTGCTTTAACTGCAGACTGTCAGCTTTAATTTGAGGGTGTTTACATCCAAATAAGGTGAACGGTGTAGGAATTACAACAGTTTGCATATGTGCCTCCCACTTGTTAAGGGACCAAAAGTAATGGGACAGAATAATAATGATAAATCAAACTTTCACTTTTTAATACTTAGTTGCAAATCCTTTGCAGTCAATTACAGCCTGAAGTCTGGAACGCATAGACATCACCAGACGCTGGGTTTCATCCCTGGTGATGCTCTGCCAGGCCTCTACTGCAACTCTCTTCAGTTCCTGCTTGTTCTTCGGGCATTTTTCCATCTGTTTTGTCTTCAGCAAGTGAAATGCATGCTCAATTGGATTCAGGTCAGGTGATTGACTTGGCCATTGCATAACATTCCACTTCTTTCCCTTAAAAAACTCTTTGGTTGCTTTTGCAGTATGCTTTGGGTCATTGTCCATCTGCACTGTGAAGTGGCGTCCAATGAGTTCTGAAGCATTTGGCTGAATATGAGGAGATAATATTGCCCGAAACACTTCAGAATTCATCTTGCTGCTTTTGTCAGCAGTCACATCATCAATAAATACAAGAGAACCAGTTCCATTGGCAGCCATACATGCCCACACCATGACACTACCACCACCATGCTTCACTGATGAGGTGGTATGCTTAGGATCATGAGCAGTTCCTTTCCTTCTCCATACTCTTCTCTTCTCATCACTCTGGTACAAGTTGATCTTGGTCTCATCTGTCCATAGGATGTTGTTCCAGAACTGTGAAGGCTTTTTTAGATGTCATTTGGCTGGCCTTCCTGTTTTTGAGGCTCACCAATGGTTTACATCTTGTGGTGAACCCTCTGTATTCACTCTGGTGAAGTCTTCTCTTGATTGTTGACTGTGACACACATACACCTACCTCCTGGAGTGTGTTCTTGATCTGGCCAACTGTTGTGAAGGGTGTTTTCTTCACCAGGGAAAGAATTCTTCGGTCATCCACCACAGTTGTTTTCCGTGGTCTTCCGGGTCTTTTGGTGTTGCTGAGCTCACCGGTGCGTTCCTTCTTTTTAAGAATGTTCCAAACAGTTGTTTTGGCCACTCCTAATGTTTTTGCTATCTCTATGATGGGTTTGTTTTGTTTTTTCAGCCTAATGATGGCTTGCTTCACTGATAGTGACAGCTCTTTGGATCTCATCTTGAGAGTTGACAACAACAGATTCCAAATGCAAATAGCACACTTGAAATGAACTCTGGACTTTTTATCTGCTCATTGTAATTGGGATAATGAGGGAATAACACACTGAGAAGCCAATTGTCCCATTACTTTTGGTCCCTTAACAAGTGGGAGGCACATATGCAAACTGTTACAATTCCTACACTGTTCACCTGATATGGATGTAAATACGCTCAAATTAAAGCTGACAGTCTTCAGGTAAAGCACATCTTGTTCGTTTCATTTCAAATCCATTGTGGTGGTGTATAGAGCCAAAAATGTTAGAATTGTGTCGATGTCCCAATATTTATGGACCTGACTGTATATATATGTATGTATGTGTATGTATGTATGTATGTATATGTGTATATATATATATATATATGTGTGTATATGTGTGTATATATATATATATATATATATTATATATATATATATATATATATATATATATATATATATACACACACACACACACACACACATACACCGGGTAAAATGAGTATTGAGAACGTCACCATTTTTCTCAGTAAATCTATTTCTGAAGGTGCTATTGGCATGAAATTTTCACCACGTCTGTAACAACCGACACAGGGAAAAAGTATTGAACACACTAACTGAAATGTATTTAATACTTCGTACAAAATCCTTTGTTGGTAATGACAGCTTCAAGATGCCTCCTGTATGGAGAAAACTAGTTGCATGCATTGCCCAGTTGTGATTTTGGTTCATTCTTCCGCACAAACAGTCTTCAAATCTTGATGGTTCCGTGAGCCTCTTGTATGAGCTCTGATATATAGTTCTTTCTATAGGTTTTCTATTGGATTTGCCAGCACCATATGCTGAAAAACAGCCCCACACCATAATGTTCCCACCTCCTAAATTTCACTGTTGGTATGGTGTTTTTTGGGGTGATGTGCAGTGCCATTTGACCTCCACACATGGTGTGTATTATGGCATCCAAAGAGTTCAATTTTGGTCTCATCTGACCAGACTATATTCTCCCATTATTTCACAGGCTTGTATAAATGTGCAGCAACATGCTTTTTCTTCAGCAATGGAGTCTTGTGTGGTGAGCGTGCATACAGGCCATGGAGGTTGAGTGCATTACTTACTGTTTTCTTTGAAACATTTGTACCTGCTAATTCCAGGTCTTTTTAAAGCTCTCTACAAGTGGTCCTTGGCTCTTGGACAACTCTTCTGATAATTCTTTTCACTCCTCTGTCAGAAATATTGCGAGGAGCACCTGGTCATGGCGGGTTTATGGTGAAATTATGTCTTTCCAATTTCAGATTATGGCCCCAGTAGTGCTCACTGGAACATTCCGAAGTTTAGAAATCCTTCTGTAACCAATGCCATTGGTATATATTGCAACAATAAGGTTGTAAAGGTCTTGAGAAATCTGTTTGTTTTTACTCATCATGAGATGTTTCTTGTGTGACGCTGTGGTAATGAGGCACTTTTTATAGGCCATCAGTTGAGACTGAACCAGCTGATTTTAATTTGCACTGACAAGAGGCAGGATTGCTTTCTAATTACTGATATATTTCAGCTGATGTACTGGCTTTCCATGCCTTTTTGCACCTCCGTTTGTTCATGTGGTGAATACTTTGTCCCTGTGTCATTCCATTTTATTACACATAACTTAATTTCTGAACTTATTTGTTTTGGTTTCTTTGTATGTATGGATTGCATGGGTTGTTACCGACGTGGTGAAAATTTCATGTCAATAGCACCTTTTAGAAATATATTTACTGAGAAAACTGGTCATGTGTCCAATACTTATTTTACCGTGTGTGTGTGTGTTATATGTATGTATATATCTGCGTAAATTGTCGAAGCTATATAATTACCTAGAATATACCCCTTCAATGTCTGTGTTAATTCTTGTTCATATTTGCTCAGCTAAGGGGTCCTATTGTTTTGAATCCATCCACATATGACTAAATGTTTACAAGGTCTCCATGGCTCCAAGTGTGTCTTTTTTTTTTTTTTTTTTTTTTTATAGAACGGTATTTATAACTAGAAAATCTACAATTTCTGGGGAAATTGTGTAAAGTGTTCTTGCCGCAACCTTTACCAAATGATTCATGAAATGTAAGCAGTGCACATAGCAAGCCTGACAGAGGGATAAATGCATTTCAGCTTGTATTTTGGATTTCACAGTTAGCCTCAATGACTCAGCTGCGTGTGAGTCATGTTTGGTTGCTGTAGCAACTCACTCACTCAGGAATGTCAGCATGTCTGTTCTAAGCAGTGTTTAAACTTGCCAACTTCACTGGCGATTGCCATCTTCAAACACTTGTAGTTTTAAAAGTATAAATGCTACAGCAAAGAGCATTATATTGTGATAATCACAAGAAGCAGGGCTAAATTTTGATGTATAGTATGTCTCTGAAAGATAAAAAATGAAGGCACAGTCGCAGTTTAAAAACGTCCCTTAACATTTCAGGTATCTAGAGTGGAGTTTCAATGAAAGTCAATGGGAGGGGTGAGGTGCAAACAAATGGTCATATTCTGAAAACTATCAGGAGTATGTCCTAGCCGTGAACATTTTTAGTGACAGCAGGGTTAGCTGAACGTTTTGATATAAGATATGTGTAGGTGGGCTTGAAAATGACAGAGTGATGGCAGTTTACAAATCATGTTCTGGTTTTTCTGATTTTTCCTTTGCACACTCTAGCTGTGCTCTGCTGCTCAATGCATTCCTATGGGAAAATTTTGCCACAAAAACTGCAATATTTCTTGAACGATTCGGCGAAACGTTCCACAAAGTAATAGCACACCAATCGGGAACAATCCGCACGTTTTGATATATTACTGGTCTTTGTAGTGTAAAAACTGTGGGAGGAGTTAGGGTGGTAAATATGGCTATAATAAGAAACGGAATAAGAATATATTTGTGAGATAACAATAAGTGTTCCTTGCTATGCAAGAACACTTAATAATATTTGGATATTTCAGTGGTGGGCAACCTTTTTTTTCAACTGAGCCAAATCTCGCCAAAACCACGATTGAAATTTATTTTGAGAGCCACATTTTTAAAACTGAAAATACATCCCCCCATATAGTAATTCATCCCCCATAGTAATTAATCCGCCATAGTAATTAATCCGCCATAGTAATTCATCCCCCATAGTAATTCATCCCCCATATAGTAATTCATCCCCCATATAGTAATTCATCCCCCATATAGTAATTCATCCCCCATATAGTAATTCACCCCCCATATAGTAATTCATCCCCCCTATAGTAATTCATTCCCCATATTGTGTCAATTCACTTACCTTTGCTCCGCGCGTTCCTCTCGCCGTGTTCCCGCGCCGTTCCGGTCTTCAGGGCGGACTGTGAGAGGAGAGGAGTTCGTCACGCTGCCCCGCCTACATCCTGACAGCCAATGTTTGCCACGCTCCGCGGGCCGGATTAAAAGGTCCGCCGGGCCGTAGTTTTTGCCCATTGCTGGGCTAGCTGCAGAGTCCTGACTCCGCCCGAGAGGAGGGAGGGGAGCGGGCGCCCGGCACACAGAAGAGCCGCATTAAAGTGTGCAAAGAGCCGCATGTGGCTCGCGAGCCGCAGCTTGCCGACCACTGGGATAGTTCATTTACCAGTTCATATGTAAGCTGTGCTTGAAGTTCAGTTGTTGAAAAAACAAATTAATTACTTTTATGAGAGAGAGAACCTAACAACACTTGCTGCTGTGTCAGCAAAAGTTCCCATAATGGTTCAGAATATATATATATATATATATATATATATATATATATATATATATATATATATATAATCATTGGTGTTTAGCATATTCTCCTCTGTTATTAGCTGCTTTAGGCTATAAATGTGTATAGGTAAGGTTGCTAAAGGCAACCAAAAGACATCCAACAGTAGGCTGTTTGTGAAATACACATCCAGTGGTGTCAGATGATAGGATTGACACAATGCTTCCAGGTTCAGCCAATGTATGCATTTAATTGGAAAATAAACATGCACAATGACAGTGCACCTAGTGGAAGTGCGCCAAAAATTCCTTTACAGATCAGTTTCCTAGTGAAGTTCATTCTCATGAGATATTTGGTGCAAATGTTTGTTACGGCTCATTTGCATCACTGTTCTGTGGCATATCACATTACAGTCATTGTGAATGACATCCCAACAGACCTGTGCTACTGTGCGCTGCACTAGCAAAAGTGCTGTGGGTCTGATTTTTGGCCTGTTGCGGTGTATTGGAAAGCTCTTCAAATGAATGGGCTGCCTTAATGCAAGGTAATGTGCAGCATAACGTGCCTTGACACAATGCATGTCAATGTGTGTACTTTAAACGTGCTGCATTGGACCACTCTGGCATGAGGACCTATTCACACTACTGCACTACAGGAATGCATATTTATCCGTGTTGCTACTATGCATTGCCATTTATTCTGAATAGCAGTGCACTTGCACTGCCGAATATGCCACATGCACAATTTTTGGTCCTTAATGGTGCAATAGGCAGCCCACGCAAAATAATAGACTGCCTTAAGACAGCACACATTAACACACCACACTGGACTGAACTGGTGTGAATAGGCCCTCAGAGGGAAGGCACATGCGACTCATATTTGTCCACTCCATCAGGTCTTTCTCTGATGTCTATGGCTGAGCTATGAATCTGGTTATTCTTTCATGGGATCACTGAGAAGTCAGCTGTGTATTTTAAAAAGTTTTAATTTTAAATATCCTCTGTTCTTAGAAAGCGGAGTACTCTAGAAATATTTATAAATAACTTCATGTTAATAGAAGCTCCTTTTTATATTGAGTTCTTTTTATTTTATGGTTCGCATCTCCGCACATGTAGAGTGATTGCTGCTGGAATTAGAGGCTGGATTTATGATGGGATTCTGATTGGGCTCTGTAGATTGCCGTCTTCTGCAAGAATTCAACTCATCTGTAATTTCCCTAGTTACAGTTGGGTGTGCACTACAAACAATAAAATGCCTTTGAAACCCCCACAAACCAGTTTCCTCTGGAGTCTGCAGTTAAGTCTGTGCTTCTGTACTAAAACACTGCAGAACTGTTATTCCTAAGATGGCCATATCAGGATCGAAATTCAGCCGGTTTAGCAGGGATCAGCAGAATTTCAATCAGTGTGTGACTGTCCCTGCTTGACGACTTCTGTAGAAGGGACATGCTGGAAAACTTTTGTTTATCAACGACTGCAGCCAGTCTGGGAATATATTTTATGTACTTTTTAAAAGAGAAGTATGGGCTTTCCCCCCAGTTATACTTGCCTAGGTAGATGCAGCATTGGCCACATGACTGCTGATCTCACAGCCGCTCTGAGCAGAGAGCGGTGACTGCCAGTCACCTCTGTCTGCTTTGGCTGTACTTCTCCTTTAACACCTGGGAATACACTGCACCATTGTTCTGGGATCCCTTCAGCACTTACCTTGTCCTGCGCTCTCGCGATGCTGTGCTTTATAGGCTAGACATACCCAGTTGCACAGTGTGACCTCTTGTGATTGGATATTGGCAGTTCCCCTAAATTCTTGAGGGTGGTCAGATGATGGCTGCATGTCTGACTACCCAGCAATGTCTTTGGTTAATATGACCATGGTGAGCATTTGACTCTATGCTTGCGTTTTTCTAATGTTCAGATTATGGGAGTTTGGTGAAATTTTTTATTATGCCACATTTGCGGGTTTCATGTGATTGTATCCTCTGATAACCTTTTTTGTGTGGTAAAGAGATTGGTTTATGTAGTTCCTTTTCATCCTCATCAATACACTTCTAAGGCAGTGGCAAGACACTCGGTCCAATGTCAAATTTTTTTCCCAGTGCTACAAGGCCACGTGTATGCCCTAATGTCCAAGGGAGACAAAATTTAGTTTTGTAGATTATAGTTGTGCAGTAAAATTTTATATAATCTGTCTGTTGTAAACAGGCCAGATAGCAGCAAATGAAGCCTTGAAACGAGATCTTGAGGGGATCATCTCCGGATTACAGGAGTACCTGGAGAGTGTGAAGGGACAGGCCAAGCAAGCCCATGATGAGTGTCGAGAGCTGCAGTCTGAGCGGGAAATCCTGCTGCAGAGACTGGAAGAGCTGGAGGAAGAGCAGGAGAGGCTTCAGGCAGCAGCACAGGACACAGAAGATATGAAGAAGGTACGCCATGTCTAATTTTCTTTTCATTTATTTAATGAATTAATTTTATTTATTTTTATCCAATAATAAGGTTTGAGCATACAAGACCAGGTGAACTTTAAGTGTTTTCTGATTTTCTCTTTTTAACCATCCCAAGTGACTGCACTTAACTGCATTAACTCCTTTATCTCTTCTCTACTGAATAGCCATACCCATTGAAAAATGTTACAATTTTGCTTGTTGCTAAAGGGAAACTGTATCAGTGAGACTGCAGAATTCCAATGAGTACATGGGTATGTATAGAATGTTTTTGTAAGCTCAGCTGCAACAATCAAACAACTCTGCCCACAGCTTAGGTTACAGTATGTTGCATTACTCACAATAAAATGACTTGGCGATGTCAGTACATACTATTAGCCTTGAGGAAACGTTTTGTAGACATGTCAATGACAGCATGCTAATCATGGCCCATTGGATTTAGGAGACTATTCAAAAGCGTGAACAGCTGGCTATAAGGAAATTAAGTAGTAAATATAATTGTTTTTTTAAACTATATTTATGGACATTTACTGAAGTATTGAAAATATCCAAAATTATGAGTTTAGAATAGTTTGTCAGAAATAATAATTTAGAATTAAAAAGTTTGTAACACTTGCTATCTAAAAAGAAAAAATGTATTAACCCAGCTACTGCTACTAATTAAATAAACCAAAACCCAACAAAGGTTGCATGCTATTTGCCAATGTATCACAATTTATAAATATATATATATATACGTATTGTAAAGAATTGATATACTGTCATATATAATAGTTCAACAAATAAAGCGCTCAGTGCTTGTAATATTCCCAAGCAATTGTGACATACAGTGGGGCAAAAAAGTATTTAGTTAGCCATCAATTGTGCATGTTCTCCCACTTAAAAAGATGAGAGAGGCCTGTAATTGGCATCATAGGTAGACCTTTAAGCCAAAATGAGGACAATCACATTGGCTGGTTTAGAAAGAATTTATTCAAAAGCGTGAACAGCTGGCTATAAGGAAATTCTGGCTCTCAGTAGTAAATATAATTTTTTTTAAAACTATATTTAATGGACATTTACTGAAGTATGACACCTGAAAATCAAACAGTCTCCAAAATTATGAGTTTAGAAAAGTTTGTCAGAAATAAATTGTAGACCTGCATTAAACTGAATTAATAGGCAAGCAGCTTGAGTGAACAAATCAACTGTGGGAGCAATAATTAGAAAATGGAAAGACATACAAGACCACTGATAATCTCCCTAACGATCAGGGGCTACTGCTACTAATTAAAGAACGGTAAACCAAAACCCAACAAAGGTTGCAGTGCTATTTGACCAATAACACGTGTGATCACCTGCATTTGCAAATATATGTCCGGATCTGAAGTTTGCTATTTGGATATATATAGAATGTCATATGGTAGATGAAACCAAAATAGAACTGTTTTGGTAGAAAACACTACCCGTTGTGTAAGAGAGAATGCTGAGTTGCATCCAAAGAACACCATACCTACTGTGAAGCATGGGGGTGGCAACATCATGCTTTGGGGCTGTTTCTCCCGCAAAGGGACCAGGACGACTGATCCATGTACAGGACAGAATGAATGGGCCATGTATCGTGAGATTTTAGTATCCTTCCCAAGCAATTGTGGGTCTTCCACATACAGTGGGGCAAAAAAAGCATAAGGTTTGGCCTAGCCAGTCAGCCAACCCCATAATTGGAGGGAGTTGCAAGTCCGTGTTGCCCAGCAACAGCCCCAAAACTTGCTCAAAGGAATCTGCATGAGGAATGGGCCAGGCCAGCCTTGTGAAAACTTACAGGAAACGTTTGGTCATTGCCAACAAAGGATATATAACAAAGTATTGAGATGAACTTTTGATATTGACCAAATACTTATTTTCCACCATAATTTTGCAAATAAATTCTTTCCAAATCAGCCAATGTGATTGTCTGGATTTTTTTTCTCATTTTGTCTCTCATAGTTGAGGTCTACCTTATGATGCCAATTACAGGCCTCTCTCATCTTTTTAAGTGGGAGAACTTGCACAATTGGTGGCTGACTAAATACTTTTTTGCCCCACTGTATGTGCCCCACTGTATGTGCAATACATCCAGTAAAAAAGTGAGTTTTCTTTGAGGAAAGCAGTATCCCAAAATGAGACTCATAGGATTAATTAATTTGGGACATTGATTCCAGCAGGTCTCAATATAGACATTGACCTTAAACTGCTTTTTTTTGATCATTTTATAATCCCACATGCCCATCCATTTAAGCTCTTTGTGGGTTTTTATAAAATTCTAAATACATTTATAGTTTATTTTTTTATTGTCCACCATGTTTTAGCAGTCTTTATTCATGATTAGCTAGATGGATTTTAATAACATTTTGTAGATTGCATGTAAATTTCTTGGCCTGTGGGGGTGCTGTGCAACATGTTTGTATGAAGGCTTTTTTACTTACCATTGTGTATAGTGGGGCTGGCATAGTATGCATTGCAGTGATTTTCCCTCTAGAGAGCGTTGAATGATTAGGGTATGTATTTATTTATTTACTTGTATATTTTTACTGTCTGGCTTTCATGTATATAGTGGTAAGAGATCTGATTTTTACATATTATGGTAAATTGCAAGGAATAGGTTAGGATATAGAAATAGGAAATAGACTGTCTGTTTTTTGGATTGGGTGCAGCGGGTGGGGCTTAGTCCTTTTTATGAGTGGAGGTGAAGGTGCACTGGAGTGAGTGGTGGCGAAGTTAGGGGTCACCTGGATTGCAGCTGGACGCTGCACCTAAGCTCACTTTTTGTTTGTAGATGCACTGCACATACATGTCATGATTGCTTAGAAATATTACAAGCACTGAGCACCTTATTTGAGTTGGACTATAATACATGAACTGTTTTTAAATTGTGTGTGTGTGTGTGTAATAAAAATATATATACACACACACACACACTTGGGTCCATATATATTTGGACACAGGCACAATTTTTCGTTTTTTAGGTATTTACAAAAACATATTCAAGCTATAGTTGTATAATGGATTTGGGCTGAACGTGCACACTGTCAGGTTTAATTTGAGGGTATGTACATCCAAATTGGAGGAAGGGTTTAGGAATTACAGCTCTTAAGAGTAGCCAACCCCCCTTTTTTCAAGGTACCAAAAGTAATTTGACAATTGAATCAAAAGCTGTTTCATGGCCAGGTGTGGGCTACTCTTTTGTTATTTCTTCATCAATTAAGCAGGTAAAAGATCTTGAGTTGATTCTAAGTGTGACATTTGCATTTGGAATCTATTGCTGTGAACCTACATCATACGTTCAAAGGAGCTGTCCATGCAAGTGAAACAAGCCATTGTAAGGCTTCAAAAACAAAACTAATCCATCAGAGAGATAGCAGCAACATTAGGAGCTGCCAAATCAACAGTTTGGTACATTCTAAGGAAAGAAGAACGCACTGGTGAGCTCAGCAACATAAAAAAGACATGGATATCCACAGAAAACAACAGTGGTGGATGATCGCAGGATCCTCTCTATGGTAAAGAAAAACCTATTCACAACATCCAGACAAGTGAAGGATACTCTGCAGGAGGTGGGTGCATCGTTGTCAAAGTCTACAATCAAGACAAGACTTCACGAGAGCAAATATTCACCACAAGGCTCAAACCATTCATAAGCCTGAAGAATAGAAAAGCCAGATTAGACTTTGACAAACAACATCTAAAAAAGCAAGACCAGTTCTGGAAAAGCATTCTTTGGATGGATGAAACTAAGATTAATCTGTACCAGAATGACAGGAAGAAAAAAATGTGGAGATGGCTTGGAACAGCTCATGATCCAAAGAACACAACATCAAAAACATGGTGGGGCAGTGTGATGGCATGTGCGTGCATGGCTTCCAGTGGCACTGGGTCATTGGTTGTTTATTGATAATGTGACAGAAGACAGAAGCAGCTGGATTAATCCTGCAGTGTTTAGTGATATACTGTCAGTTTAGATTCGGCCAAATGCAGCAAAGTTGATTGGACAGTGCTTCACAGTACAGATGGACAATGATCCAAAACACACTGCAAAAGCAACCCAGGAGCTTTTGAAGGAAAAGAAGTGGAATATTCTGCAATGGCTGAGTCAATCACCTGATCTGAACCCAATTGAGCATGCATTTCTCTTGCTGAAGGCAAAACTAAATGCAGAAAGACCCACAAACAAAGAACAACTGAAGACAGCTGCAGTTAGAGCTCAGCAAAGCATCAGAAAGGAGGAAACCCAGTCTTTGGTAATGTCCATGGGTTCCAGACTTCAGGCAGTCCTTGCCAGTAAAGGATTCTCAGCAAAATATTAAAAATTAACATTTTATTTATGATTATATTAATTTGTCCAATTACATTTGAGCCCCTGAAAATGGAGGGACTGTGTATAAAAATAGTTTGCAGTTCCTTAAAATATGTACATATTTCAAAACCTTGAATAAAAGCTGAAAGTCTGCACTTCAAATTACTTTGGATTGTTTCGTTTTAATTAATTCTGGTGGCATACAGAGCCAAAAGTATGAAAATTGTGCCTGTGTCCAAATATATAGGGACCTAACTGTATATATATTGGTGCGCATTGTGATCACACATTAGTCAAATAGGGTTACAAACCTCTTGTTGAGTTTTTGTTTATTTAGAAATAATAATTTGCAGTGAACCATGAGATATTTGAGCAGAGAAAGAATTTGCATATACTAACTTGTTCATCTAAAATAAAATGCCCCATCTTTCATTCAACCAAGGATTTTTTAGCCTTTTTATCAGTTGTCTGACACATTGTCACGGTTCAACTTTCAAAAGATCACTCATTATTTTTCTTAGCAGCCAATCAGATTCTCCCTTTCCTTGTGTAACTTGCACTGAAAAAAAAAAAAATGACAGCTGGTTGTTATCGGCAACTGGGCAATGTGATTGTTTAATAAGCTTTATTTTGATCTAATAAAGCTTTAACCATCTTGTTTTGCATATAGCTAGATATAAATAAAACATCTGTGTGCCTGTGGGTACTCTTGTACCTTTCCGGGCAATCTTTCTTGGGCTAACGGTTGGCAGGGTTGCATTTAACTAGCTGACTTCTATTGTTTTGCCCCCAGGATGAGTTAGTTAAGGAAAGATCTTTCATGTGATTGCCATCTTACGTCTATAGACATCTTCATTCTTTACAACCCCTATATAGATCTTTAGTGAAAAATCAATTAGAATACTGTGTCCAATTCTGGAGACCTCACTTACAAAAAGATACTGAGAAGATAGAACTAGTCCAGAGATGGGTAACAAAAACAGTGAAAGGTCTGAGGGATAAGGCATATCAAGAGTGACTTCAGAACTGTTTCAATACCGGGAACTTAAAGGATAAACGTTCACCTTTGGACAATTGCGCGGTCATGTTAAAATTTTACATGTTTCACCTGTTTTTAGGGGAGAAGTCTCCTCGCACTATCTGTCAGATTTAAAAACAGCGTGGCTGTGCAGGGCTTTGTCCACGTGGCTTCGTCACTCATTCACAGTCTGAATATTGATCAATCCTGAAGTAGTTCTTGTGAATGAGTGCCTACAAGTCCGGCAGCCTTAGCGGCTGTTGGCTTGTTGTTTTCAATGAACTACCATGGCGCTGTTTTTTGAAGGAGTCATAATGCCGTGGTAGTTCATTCAAGCTTCCTGTCAGAATATCTGCTTGACCGTACATCTTGTACGGCTAGCAAATATTCTGACAGGTCTGCAGGAGAATTACCTGCATGGCATCAGCGATCTACTGATAGCTTGTGCAATGCTTTACAGGCTCCTTTTTTTTTTTTTTTGGGCTTAATAATAATAAATACTCGTTTTTTTTACCTGCAAAAAAATGTGCATTTATTATTTTTTGTCCAAAAGATGAACTTATCCTTTAATATTTACAGTCTGGAGGAAAGAAGGGAAAGGGGAGACATGACTGAAACCTTTAAATAAATCAGGGGTGTGAATAAGGTTCAGGAGGGCAGTATTTTCTATATGAAACCAAAATCAAGAACATTGGGATAAGACCTCAAACTAACTGGAGGAAAGTCCAAAACTAATCTTAGAAAGTATTATTTACAGAAAGGGTAGTTGATGCTTGGAATAAATTTCCAGCAGAGGTAGTAACTCAGTCAACAGTAAATGGCTTCAAACGTGCTTGGGACAAACATAGATCTGTATTCAGACAAAGGAGGTAACAAAAAAAAAGAAAACAAAAAAAAAATACAAAACATGTTTAAAAAACGGGAAGACTCGATGGACCACTCGGTCTAATTCCTGCTGTCACTTGTCTGTTTCTATGTTTTACCTTGGTTCTGAATTTGTTCCATCAAAGATCTCAATTTAGTGCCGACGTTATTCTTGCTGTTTTGAATGAGGCCTAGTTTTTGTGATTCTAGGAAATTGAGGAGTTAGAACGAAGTCTTCAAGAACAACGGGAGCTGAACGAATCTCTCCGCCAGGCCCAAGGCGACCTTGGTGCTTATGAAGCCCAGATGGAGGAGCAGCTCAGAGCACGAGAAGCAGACACCAGACAACTACAGCAGGAGCTAGAAAGGAGAAAGCAGCAAGGACATGTAAGCTGTCACATGATTGAGCTGATGATGGTTTATAAAGTGGAGGAAAAGTCAATCCTGTGTGTGATATTTTTACAGGTGGAGAGTTCTGCACTGAAAGCTGAGCTGGAGAGAGACAGGCGTGCACTAGAGAATGCGCTGACTAAGGCTCACATGTTGGAGGAGAAGGAAAACGACAGCAAAAAGCTTTTGTATCAGCTTCAGCAGCTGCAGGTGGGTGATGTGGTTGTAGTGTGCACAAATGGGACAGTATACATTGAGGAAAACACAGCCCTTAGGTGCATGTAGTTTCTATGAACACAATCACTGCAGTGTTATTGAAGCAACACAAAACCCTGAAGTTCATCATGTTTTATGTGGAAGAGGATCAGTAGTGTTAAAGGAACATGGTTATGAGAGATTAACCACTTCCCGTCCGGACCATGTACATAAACAGCCGGACAGTAGCAGTGCAGGTTGCCGTTCATAAATGGCGCCTGCATTTTCAAGCTGTGCGTGTGCGTGCTCCCTGGGAGCGTGCGGCACCACGATCCGGTGCCCGCTGTGTCCGAGGTCCCGATTATGTGATCACTGATTGGCCAATCAGTGATCACATGAATAGTAGTAATCAAGATGTCAGTTCTGACATCATTGCGTACTACTAGTGAAAATCTGTGAATGATCACAGAGGTTACATAGTACAAGGCTATGCACAACAGCCTTGTACTTTGTGACATCCAAAGCTCTTTTTTACTTTACAGGTATTAGCAATTACATTTGATATATTTAATACTGATTTTATATTAAAACTAAGATTTTTTTGCACGTTTCTTAGTGAATGTGATCAATCTGCATACTATATCCTGCCCTCATAGTATTTAGCAATAGGAGGACATGGAGGAGGAGGGAGGGGAGTGTCATTTACCACTGTGTATACTCCCACATATGTGAATAGTCATGTGGGCTGCACAGATAAGAAAAAGAAGGCAATGAAAAGCTTTGAAAGGAACTATAATATGAGAATGCTCAGTAGAGGACGCCAGCTGGTCTACACAATCTCAATGTCTGCAATGGGGACACAGAGAATATCGAAGGGACAGCTCAAGGCAGGATCGACTAGATATATTTCACTCTACACAAAAAAAAATGCTTTAATGGCTTTATTGAGTCTGTGTTTAATGAGCCTTTAAAGTCCATTTGAACCAGTTAAAAGCCTGTCCCCTGCAGCAACTGTGGAGTGGGTACCTTGCTGTCTCCATGGAAGCAGGAAAGCAGTGTTCCTTCTGTAGAGGTCTGACACGCATCCTGCTGTGTCGGACCTATAGCACTGGAATCACCAAAGTTCATGTTCCATGCTGAATGGAGAACTGCAGCTCTGACTCGGCAGGGAGCATGTTGGACTGCTGCAGAGAGACCACTGCTTCCCAGAGAAAGCAGCTATTCCACTTTGTGGCATTCTGGCAGGAGATAGGCTATTTCACTCTGCAGCTGTCTGTTTTCTATAGAAATCTAATTGTAAGACTTTGAACACAGTTTAAGATGCACCTCCCATGCTTTTTTTGTGGCGTTATCATTTTAACCTCCTAATTTGTCTGTTCCTATAATGCACTCCTCTTTGCTGTTGGCTTTCTGTGCTGTGCATCTGACTAATTTGAATTGAAACAACCCCGGGCTCTCCTCACCCCCTATACCATTAGTCTTTCTTCTTAGTTTTAGGTAAAACATTGCTACATTGCTCTTAAACCTGAATGCATATCATTGAGATTCCAACAGAGCCAACTCTGCCCAGGGCGTTTGCCTTTCATCCTCCGTTGCTTTAGTACACCAGACTTTCAAGTTGTGCAAAACCATATGGTGGCTGGTAACCTGTTGCATGAAGGGCGGGAGTTCAACAACCTCTTTGGCAGCCTTAGCATACTGAGATTGTGCATACCTACACATTTTTCTAAATATGAAAGCTAGGCAGGTAAATAGGTATTCAGACAGAAGCAGTAAAAAAGGCTGTATTGCACACAATAAAAAATAAAAGGCCCCAGTTCCATCCAGCTACATTCCAACAGCTCTGCTTAAGCACAGCCATGATATTTGCTGTATCCCATCACACCATCACATTGACAGTTCACCTAATAATTTTCCTAATGTCGCTGGAATTTTATTTGCTGTAACGTATCTGGAGATGGAATTGCTCAGTAAATAACAAATGTCGACATTCATCAAAAATGTTTCTTACTCTATTTATGTTCTATTTTGTATAAGAAATACACATGTATAGAGGTAATGGGGTGGATCACTGAATGATTCCATTATCATTTTCTATTCTAGCCACATACAGCCATTTTTCTCACATCTCCTTTTTTGGTGAGAGTGTCCTACACTCTCCCTCGCCTGGGCAGTGAGCTGGTCAGCAGCAAGTCCTCAGCTATTTTATTGATTAACTCCTTTGTTCTGTAATTGAATTATCTGTGTAATACAGCATTATGAAATTTCTTTAGAATATAATCTGCTTCATGGATTAAGTGTCATTGATAGTTCACATTTTAAATATGCTCTCCAACCAGATTGAGAGTAAATGAAAGACATCTGGAGAATAAAGTCAGTGGCTGGTATGAGGCAGAACACCAACTCTTATTGAAGACACATTTGAGCAAAGAGTGCTTTGCTAATGGGGTTGACATACTGGTAGATCCAATTTATAAAAACTGCAAAAAAGAAAGTGAGGATTATACAGTGAATGTATCCTCTGACATTGAGAACTGCACCACTGTATTCTTTTTCCCCTGGTATGATTCATGCATTCAGGTGTTTACAATAAAGACGCTTTTAGTTACTCTTTCCCGTCACCTTTCCCTTGAAGAGAGAAAACGAATCACTGAAGAAGCAGCTGAAGAAGGTGGAGGCTGAGCTGAAAGATACCCTGCAGAACATGGTACATCCTGAACAGATCACTACCCGAGTGTCAGAACTAAAGAGAAAGCTGCAACTGGAGTGGGAGAAGTCAGGTAAGTTACTCGGCATTGTGATGACAACCCATTTATAACATAAAATGTCTGGCTTTGCTTTGAAAGAAAACCATGGTTTTTGTATCGGTTTGTTAATTTTTCAATGCTTTAAAATATAGAATGACATGGTTTTATAGACCAATAGGTTTCCCTCTCTGTAACTGAAGCTCTGTACAGAGCATAGAGGAAGGGGAATGAGTCACTTTGCTGATGTTTCAAGCCAGATTTAATTTGAGCGTAATCCATTGTCTATCAAGATACATTTATAAACATTCTAATACTCAAGGAGTTAAAAGCAGCTCACAATTGCTGCTGATGCTGTGAGCTTGGTATTGGTTTTTTACAGCTGACTCCTGTCTTGCAGGTAAAGCTTTTCCAGATGGTTGTAGAGCAACCCAATTTTTTTTACAGGACTCCCAAGTTGCAGCCCTCTGCCACCGATGCTTATGGTGGTTTTCTTGCTCTAGCGTTCCTTGAGGGAACCCCCTTGTAACAGCAATAAAGTTAAATGAAAAAAAGGTGTACAAAAAATACATTTGTAATTGGAAAATCAATCTTATTTTTTTATTTAATTTTACAATTAAAAGCACCCAGTACACACGTATTGCCATTGCATGTGAAGGGCTCCAATTATATATAAACCTAAATTGCACCACATATGTGAGATATCACCAGTAAGGTCAAAGTGACAGCAATAATGCTGGGACCATAATTTACAGTTAACTGTAAACTATTAACCTATAAAGGGTTTTAAAATCTTGCCATGGGAATATGCATTTGATAAACAATTGTGTAATTATCATAAATAAAAAAATGAAACTGCTACCTTTTTTTTTCTACAGGTCCTCTGCTTTCAGAAAAAAATTGTTTGGGGGTTTAAAGTAATTTCAAATTTTAAAAAATGCTCAATTTAACCTCTTTCTGTCCGGCCCATGCCGATAAAGGGCCAGACAGGAGCGCTGCCTAATGCGGGTGGACGTTTCCTAAACGTCCCCCCGCATCCATTGCATGTATACACGCTCCCTGGGAGCACGCGGCACTGCGATCGTGCCCTCCGATCCATGGCCAATCAGTGATCACATGAATAGTAGTAAACAAGATGTCACTTCCTGACATCATTGCTTACTACTTGTGAATTCTGTGAATGATCACAGAGGTCACATGGTACAAGGCTATTCACAACAGCCTTGTACCATTTGACAAGCTTTGACAGCTCGCACAGTATTTCTTAATGGCTGCAGGAATGCAGCCAGGGAGAGGAAGAAACAATTGCTTTTACAGCCTTTATGGGTGTAAAAGCAATCAGTGTAAAAAAAGAAAAAAAAAAAAAAATCTTCATCACCCCCCATAAGTAGTTCAGTGTCACTATAGTGACACTGTACTGCTAGGGTGACAGTATTTAAAAAAAAAAAAAAAACAATAATAAAATAGAATAAACATGTAAAAACTTTTTTTTTTTAAATTATAATTTTTGGTTATAAACTAATTTTTTTTTTTTTTTTTTTTTTTTTTTTTTACTCAAAAGATAACTACATTTTGGCCAAGATTTATGAAGAAGAAAGATTATTTATTTGCAAAATTTTATAAGAAAAACACTTTTTTTTTTTTTAAATTTTGGTCTTTTTATTTATATAGCAAAAAAAAATAAAAATCCCAGTGGTGAATGAATACCACCAAAAGAAAGCTCTATCTGTCTCAAAAAATGCTAAAAATTACAGTACAGTGCTGCATGACCACACAATTGTCATTCAAAGTGGGATAGCACTGGAAGCTGAAAATTGGCCTGAACTGGAAGGGGGTGAAAGTGTCCGGACTTGAAGTGGTTAATGTGTCCAAAAATTAAAAAAAAAAAAAAAATGCTCCAGTAGAAAAGTAGTTAAGCTATTTAGCTTTGTAAGCATCAACCGTTATTTGTAAAATGTTTTTCTTTCTTATTCATTCACTGCTACCTACAGGAGGTTTGGCCAACAAAAGTGTAGGGCACCCTAGGATAACCTCTTCCATTACAAGTATACCTCGACTTTTTTTTTTTTTTTTTTTGCTTGACTTTTTAAACTGTAAGGCAACTCCTAACCTTCTTGTCTTTAATTGTACTGTAAATGTATTTTTATATTGTAAAGTGCTGCACAAGCTGTAGTGTAAAAATCCTGCATAATAATAATAACAACAACGTGTCCTGTCCTAGGTGGATGTACATCTTTTCTACAGCTCTGCTGTGTTAAAAGACAAACCTGTTTTTTTTTTTTTGTTGTTTTTTTTTTGCTAGCTCTTTTTTACTGTTTGATATTTTTCTTTAACTGCTTCCCCTTCGCCCTATAGCAGAAATACTGCTGCAGGGCGTCAGGGATGTGCAAAATCATGTGTATATATACATGAGTTCGCATTTCTAGGCAGGAGAGCGCGCGCGAGCCGCGCAGTCATTCGTGGCCTCGGCTGTCAATTAATTGATTACTTGCCGGCACCCATTGATCGCCGAGTGTCTCCGATGGGAGAGAGACCTATGTATAAACAATACAGATCTCTCCCCTGTCAGCTCCTGCACACTGCTTTGTTTGGCTCTGCATAGTACCCTCTTTTTCAGACAGTTGCCCCGAATTTGACTCTCTGCTTTCCTCTGGGCATTCTGCTGGCCCTGTGGCTGGCACAGCCTTCCTCCTACTTGTCTAAAGGGTTTTCTGTCACCATGTCTGATTTCATGGGTAGGATCTTGGTCCTTTTTGAGGCTGTAGACAGCGGGGATCACAAACAATGGAAATCTTTTCTCCTAAAGATGTGGAAAAACATGTGCCAGCCTATCAGGCTGGGGAGGAGGAAGCTGTCTTCTTATCTTGGATCTCAGGGCAATTTGTTGTCTTTGTTGTTTTTTACGCTGGACTCAGCTGCCAGGTCTCCTGACAAAATGGAAAGTGGACTTGATCTCCCTTCAGTGAAACTGCTTGTTTCTGTCTAGTCTGCCATCCACATCCAAAGCATGGACAAATGGCAGGCAGACTTTTCAGTCAGTGTCTAGATCCACAGCAATCGATTCTTCAGTTGGAGGTATTGCATACCCTTTGCTGCAGGTGTGGGGAGACACGGAACTTCTGGCATCCAGATTCAACAACAAACTGGACAGCTTTATCACCAGGTGCAAGGACTCCTGGGCTTTTGCAGTGGGGTTACTTTAGAGAAGATGGAGCGCTAAAAAGGGCTGGGCCTTGAGAGCTTATGGTTGACCTCCCTGCTCCTGAAATTCCCAGCCATTAATGAGTGTTCTCTGATACAGGGGAGCCAGAGCTGCAGGATCATGTACTTGGACCAGAGCAGACGGAGTATATGGATCCTATTTTTTTCATTGAGTAGGCAGGATAGGTAGCAAATGGGGGGGGGGGGGGGGCGGGATATTTTTAAGAAAAGATATTGTTAGGAAGGATTTCCTCTTTTAATCTTCAGATTCTTCAATCAGCTTTTCACTGCCTTCTAATGCCACAAATAGAAGCAGTGCATCCTGATTGGTGCGACCTCCGTAAACCTTGGAACCTTTACCCAGGCCCATGCTATGGAGATGGTCTGCAATGTTGGGCACTGGATACTGTACTGGCTTTCACCTTGGCACTTAGTGTAATGTGTGTACGGTCCAGGGCCATGGAATTTAGTTGCTGAAGTGCACTTTTGGGGTATACCCACCAAGATGGGCAAAGCCTAGACTTTATATAAGTTCCAGCATCATGGAAGGTAAGGTAGGTTCATCCTGTGTGCTTCCAACCATGACTGAAAGACTGGGGTAATATTTGAGTTGTATTCACTACCGTGTAAACTTTTTTCAAAACTGGCGCTAAAAATCAACCACTCAGGAATTCTCACGTGGAATAACTAGGTGTGAGGACATCCCACAGGTTGCACATTTTACTGCCACTTCCACCTAGAGCCCTTCTATGCTATGCAGGTGCATCCTCCCACCCTTTCACCAGAAATATTCGCTACGGGATGGTCTACACCCAAGTTGCTGCACTATCATTTTGGACATGCTTACCGAGTACTTCACACCGTGATCTGTTCCTGTAGTTGATCTCACCTCCTTAGTATTAAACATTTCACTGTAGCCATTAAAAATGTATATTCTTTCAAAGATTGCAGATAAAAAGTTTGAAACGCTCTTAAAGGCTCTTCTTACTTTGGCAGGCCTAGTCCTGCAGCCAGCTCTCACTGTATCTTCAGTATATCAAACTGCAGCTAACTGGACTAGAGCTATGAACAACCAACATGACCCTGTTTTTTTCAGGATTGTGCTTTAACAGTGTAGTTACACTAATTTTTTTCTGCTCTGCTTTGTTTGTGTATACCCTAAAACATGGCATGAGACAAGTTTCCAGCATGGTCCTAATCTCCATCCACATACACAGAATCTTGTGGCTAAAAACCTGGACAGCTGAACCTATCTGTAAAAAGCACCTCACACATATGCCTTTGTAAGGAAGATGTCCGTTTTGAGAGGCACTTGACCAGTTCATATAAGGTGTCCCAGGAGGAAAGGTTTTACTCCATGGCAGAAAATCCCCAAATCCCCTTCCTCAGGAGTCTCTACCTGTGTAGAACACAGAGCACCTAATTGCTCTACCCAGCTTTCAACTTCCAAACCCAAGTTCAGTCCTTTCTTTTGGTGCAAGATGTAGCCCACGAAGCCCCCTTACTAATGAAGGGGCACTCTCACTCTTAGGAGTGGGGGGGGGGGACATCAGTTACAGTTTGCCTTTCGTGGGGTCACAAATGTCTCAGATCTGTGGGTTCGATCGGTGGTTTCAAGGGGGTGCTAAATGGAGTTCAAAACTCTACCCCTTCACAGCGTTCTTCTCTGAAATCAGCCAAAGACTGTTCAAGGACAGTCAGATTTGCAAAATGCCCTTAGCCATCTCTTGTCACAGTGAGTAGCTGTGCCAGCGCCCCCACTCAACAAATACTGTACCTTTTAAGTTTTAAACTCTTGTATTAAAACGCAAGGTCAATAATTGCTTCTCTAAGAAAAGGGGGAAAACATGGTATCACTAGACATCCAAGATGCTTATCTGCTTTTTCCATTTAACCTCATCAGTGCTTTATGTGATTTGCAGTGGAAGACAATCACTTTCAGTTTGTTGCAATGCACTTTAGCCTATCATCTGCTCTCACAAAACTTCTAGTACCTCTTTTTCCCCTTCTCAGAACTCAGGGCATCCAGGTCGCAGATTATCTAGACAACCTTCTCCTGAATAACTGATCTCCCTTCCAGCTGTTAGCAAACGTCCACAAGACCATTCAGATGTTCCAGACTTTTGGTTGAGCGGTCAATTTTAAAAAAAAATCTTCTCTCCAGCCTTCTCTTTCCCTGGAATATATGGGTGTGGTCCTGGACATATCCTAAGCAAAGGTTTACCTTTCAGAAAGAAAACAAATCTCTCTTAAGAGACATCCCACAATGAGATTCTCCATGAGAGTTTTAGGTAGCCTTTGAGACTACCATTTTCCCTGTTTCATTCACTAAACTGCATCTGAGCACCACAAACTGAAAATATTATTTAATTTATTTTTAATATTCAAAGCAAAATCACCAATCCATCCATGTCTCCAAGCTTTACTTTGCTTAGAAATCACTTTGAAAAACACCCCCTAACATTTCTGGCTGTGGCCGTTTTGAGTAAGGGCAGATGATTCATGTAGCATTTACTTTCTGGAGTCCATCTGCCTGTAGGCCAGGCCTGCATGCAAGAGGGTGTGCTTAGCTGAGAAAACCCCTCTCTGAAGACTCCTGATATGTACAACCCCTGGCAAAAAGTTATGGACTCGCCACTCTTGGAAAATGTTTGTTCAGTTGTATAATTGTGTAGAAAAAAAAAAAACTAATCACAGACATGTGTTACAGAAAACTGTAATTCTAAAAAAAAAAAAAAAAACACTACAGTGCACCACTAGTACTTTGTTGCATCACTTCTGGCTTTTACAACAGCTTGAATTCTCTGAGGCATGTATTTAACTATCGACAAACAGTATTCTTCATCAATCCGGCTCCAACTTGCTTAGAGTCTAAGCCAGGTGCTGGTCCAGACATCTGAGTGGATCCCGACTTTAGAGTCAGGATATTTCCCCAGCCTGAACATCAGCCAACAGCGGAGTGACATCAGCCAAAAGTGGACTTTAGCCCACCGTCTGCTGAAAACGGGTCGCACGAATGCAGAACGAACTGCGCTCCTGTGATCAACAGAAGTA